AGGGGCAGTACCGGCCCTGGAGCGGCATGGGGAACTGGGTGTGGGCAGTGATGCTGGGTCACCCCCTTCTCTGTCTTGTGCTTAAGCAGCAGCTGTTCTAAATCTACAGCTGGGAGGGGTGCTAACAGCCTTGGGAGACCAGGACACCCTCTGTGCTTCTCTGAGCCCTACCAACGACCATTAGTCCCGAGGTTTATTATTTGACGAACATGTATTGACCTCCTACATAAAGGTCAATTCCTGTGCCAGGCACGTCCTGTAGTGAGTTCTTTTTCAGTGCCTTTTCCCACATAACCCCTTGGTCTTGGACTAGCCATCTGCTTTCTCTGTACCTGCTGAAGTCCTACCCATCCGTCAAGATGCAGATGTCGCCTCCTTTTGGTAGACAGGTCGTCTTTTCTCATGCTCTCTTTGTACCTGGGTACTTGCTCAGTGTGGGGCATCCGTAGGTTATGTATTTCTTTGAAACAAGGGTCTAGTTCTGTGCCTAGTTTGCAGAACTCCCTCCTGCCTGGGGTGCGCTCCTTCCTTCCACCCCAACCCCATTCACCTGATTCACACCTCCTCAGTGTTTAGATCTCAGCTGTATCATCACTTGGACCACGAGACCCTTCTTGACTCCACAGACTGGATGAGACCGCCCTCCCCTGTGCCCCCGCAGCCCTCTGTACCCCTCTCCCCGCCACCACCATAGCACCCCTCAGTCACCACAGTGACATGTTACATTCTCTCTCCTCATGTCTAGAAAGTCAGTTCTGGGGAGACAGAAATCCTTCTGGCTTGGTTTAGTGCTGGATTCTTCGCACTACCTAATAGCCCCCCCCCCCCCGGGCACACAGGAAGCACACAGTTAATACTGGACAAATGAATGAGAAAGTCTGGGTTTAGGTTCTAGGGCTCTCCCTCAGTGGTGTGACCTTGGATGTGTCAGCCTGCTTTGAACCACAGTTTCTTCTTTGCTAAAGGGACAGATAATCTCTCAAACCCCTCTCAGCATGTACACCCTGCTCTCTCAGGCCCTGTTTCACCTGCTGTCTATAGCTCACGTTCTGGCCCATCTAGTGTGAGTCATGCCCAGAGAAGTTCAGGCTCTTACTCGCTTGAAGAATTTCACATTCTTTGGAGAACATTTCACTCTTCAAATATTATCTTTCTGATGTGGTCCTTGGCAGCATCTCAGATTCTGCCAGCTCACACGGGTCAGTCCCTCCACAGGCGCAAATGCCTCATCTACTCCCTCAGTTCCTGGCGGGCTGAGCCTCGAGCATCCCCATCAGAGGCCCCAGAAAAGGGTGGGAGGTGCCAGGCCTGGGATGGAGTGCGCTGGGATTCTCAGGCAGCCAAGAGGAGGGGAAGCTGTGACTCAGTATTTGTGAAATGTTAACTTGTGGGGTGAATAAGACCAGATTGAGGCTGTGTGTCTTGGGAAGTGGTGAGTCTAGTTAATTGGAATTGGAGCCAGGAGGCCAAGGGCAGTTCCTGCCATTGCTGCTCCCACTTCCTGTGTCCTCATTAATCTATCCTTTCTGAGCCCCAGCTTTTTAATCTATAAAATGGCTACATGAACACCCAGCCTCCTCACCCTTAAGATGGTTTAGAAGCATGGGGTGACACATTTTCATTTTTATGGAATACCTACTATGTGACACACCTTACATCTGTTATTTAATATAATCCTCAGGACAATTCCACGCCATTGACAGGTGCAAAACCAACTCTGGATTTCTTTATAGCAGCATGTCCTCAACTATTTGTTGGAACATTCCTTTCTACCTGGAATATATTTCCACCTGAGGTTAGCAGGTAAGGATTTGCTGGTCAAACACATTTGTTTAATCCCAGGTTCCCCCAACAAGTTACCCAGAGCATTTTCTAGAGGCATGTGCACCCTTGAGAACCCAGTGGCATACATTAATTAGATTTAAGGGACAAGCTCCAGCCACCCCGAAACTCTAAATTATATGCATAGCAGTCTGGAATCGAGTTCCCTGATGTTTGAGTTGTTAGAGCTTCTGTCTCCCCAGACAGGACCTGCCAGAGCAGCCATGCCTAATGACCTCCGATTATGGAATTGTACTTTCCACCCCTGACACTCTGGGTTCTGTGTGTGCAGAGGTCTCTGTGCCAAGGGAGGTGTTCTTTCATCAGCGTTCTTAGCAATGGGTCCTGGGGCTGGAAGCTGAATCATCACCTGGATATTTTCAGGCTCCTTCTTACCCTCAATGAACGGGTGGAAAACGAGGCTACTGTGCTTTTATGGTGGTTAGTCTTGATGACCAAAAGAAAATAAGGTTGCTGCTAATGAAATTGGGCATGGAGGGGGTATATCTGGAATCAAGTTCCTCTGTGGGGTCTTCTACAGTTTTTTCTTTCTTTCTTTTTTTTAAAGTTCAGGAGTTTGAAACAAACAACAAACAACAACAACAACAGCAACAACAACAAAAAACAACTTCTAAGTCTCCATATTGCTAAGACCACCAATGGCTCAGATCCTTCATGAATGAAGATTTGGTTTGGGTCATCCCATAGAGTCAAGAGTTCTGACCAGCTGAGCTGCTAGCTGAGAGTGGAACAAACACAGTACTTAATTTTCTCTTTCTCCCTCACTCTTCCTAACTATAATTTCATGACGAGTTATTGAAGATATCTCTAGGATTTTTTTTTGCCATGCTGTATTATAACAAATTTCCCTTTTCCCCCTTTGTTCTCTTATGGTTTAACTGGTGCATCGTGGAGGTGGTGAATTTTACAGATTTGTCTACAGGCTCTAGCACATTCAGATAGAATTGTGATGGAACTAGAGGAGAAGAAACATTACCCAGAGACGCCAGATGCATCACCCAGAATGATAATTGATGAGTGTTTGGTTGACCTCCTGTATGCAGAGGGCAAGGACATTCCCAAGGATGGAGAACCTCGTCGTGTTAGATTTTTGTTGTTGGGTAATAGCAACTGTTGTCATTGTCAAGCTCTCGAGTGGAAGGAAGATCTATGTGAGATATGGGCAGCTAGCAAGGAGACGGTATAGGACATCGTTAAGTTTTCTGCCCAGTTGTCAGCATTTTCTGAACTCCTGGTTGCAGAGGTTTAAGCTTTATGGGTCTGACTTCTCAAGGATTCACTAGTCAGACTTACCCAAAGGAACAGCTAGAGGAAGCAGGGCTCGCTCAGAAACGTCTGTGGGCCAGTGTCGGGGTAGGTGTCCAGGACTGGGGCAGGACCAGTTCTGTGAGGCTAACTGTAGCCAGGGTAGTTTGCACTTGTGCTCGGCAGGCCTGCAGCAGTCACAGCAAGTTTCTTCTGAGGCCAAGTCTCTAAGCATCTTTCTTAAACTTTCCTTAAACTTGTCCTCTGCCATTCCCAATATCTTTGAAATAAACTTTAGTTTCTGATTCTTGCAGCAAGGAAGTCTGAGACATAAACATTGAAATAATGGAGTAGTAATATAATAATAAAATAATAATAATAATAATAATGGGCTTCCCTGGTGGCTGAGATGGTAAAGAGCCTATAATAATAATAATAATAATAAACTTTTACTGAACACCTCCTGGATCCAGGCACTATATCCTATACTTTGTTGCTGTTCAGTCGCTAAGTTTTGTCTGACTCTTTGTGACCCCCATGAACTGTAGCCCACCAGGCTTCTCTGTCCATGGGATTTTCCCAGATAGGCAGCCTGGAGTGGGAAGCCATTTTTTTTCTCCAGAGGATCTTCTTGACCCAGCGATTGAACCCACATCTCCAGCATTACTAGGTGGATTCTTTACCACTGGTAAAGCCCAATATTATATACTAGGAATGTATTATTTCATTTCCTCCTTTCAACATTTTGGTGTATTTTTACTTATTTGTTTGATTTTGTTTTTTAGTAGCAGAGGTAACCAAAGCTTAGAGAGATTTCAAAATTTGTCTGAAGTGACAAATTGGAAATTTATGTCCATGAAGCTTGAAAGACAGTAGAAAATAAGTCAAGACTATGAAAATGACAATTTATGGTTTGTTATGAGAAGATTTGTTATGAGAAACCTGTATGCAGGTCAAGAAGCAACAGTTAGGACCGGGCATGGAACAACAGACGGGTTCCAAATAGGGAAAGGAGCACATCAAGGCTGTATATCGTCACCCTGCTTATTTAACTTATATGCAGAGTACATCACGTGAAATGCCAGGCTGGATGAAGCACAAGCTGGAATCAAGATTGCCAGGATAAATGTCAATAACCACAGATGACATCACCCTTCTGGCTGAAAACAAAGAGGAACTAAAGAGCCTCTTGATTGAAGGTGAAAGAAAAGAGCGAAAAAGCTGGCTTAACACTCAACATTCAAAAAATGAAGATTGTGGCATCTGGTCCCATCACTTCATGGCAAATAGGTAGGGAAACAATGGAAACAGTGACAGATTTTATTTTCCTTGGCTCCAAAATCACTGCAGATGGTGACTGCAGCCATGAAATTAAAAGACACTTGATCCTTGGAACAAAAGTTATGACAAACTTAGACAGCATATTAAAAAACAGAGACATCACTTTTCCAACAAAGGTCTGTGTAGTCAAGGCTATGGTTTTTCCAGTGGTCATGTATGGATGTGAGAGTTGGACCAGAAAGAAGGCTGAGTGCTGAAGAATTGATGCTTTTGAACTGTGGTGTTGGAGAAGACTCTTGAGACTCCCTTGGACTGCAAGGAGATCCAACCAGTCAATTCTAAAAGAAATCAATCCTGAATATTCATTGGAAGGACTGATGCTGAAGCTGAAGCTGCAATACTTTGGTCAGCTGATGCAAAGAACTGACTCACTGGAAAAGACCCTGATGCTGGGAAAGATTGAAGACAGGAGGAGAAGGGGATGACAGAGGATGAGATGGTTGGAAGTCATCACCGACTCAATGGACATGAATTTGAGAAAGCTCTGGGAGATGGTGAAGGACAGGGAAGCCTGGCATGCTGCAGTCCATGGGGTCACTAAGAGTTGGACACAACTAGGTGACTGAACAGCAATGAGAAAATTTACAGGTGGCTCAGTGGTAAAGAACCCACCTGCGACTGCAGGAGACTCAGGAGACACAGGTTCAGGCCCTGGGTTGGGAAGATCCTCTGGAAGAGGAAATGGCAACCCATTCCAATATTCTTGCTTGAATAATCACACAAACAGAGGAGTCTGGCAGCTACAGTCCATGGGGTTGCAAAGAGTTGGATACTACAGAATGACTAAACATGCATGCATGAGAAACTTTAAAACATTCACAGAAAGAGAGAACAGTGTAATAAATCTCTGTGCACACATCACCCCAGAAAATCAACAAGAATATAGTATGCTATATATTATTTATGTTTATAATATAAACCATATATCACATATGTTTTATAATTATTATATATTACATAATACAATATACTTTATATTATTATAGTATAAAAGATCTAACTATATTGAGTTTTTTGCTTGTGAGGTTTATGGGTTTGTAGTTGACTATATTTATAGGAACAAAATTAAATTTTATAGTAAATTTTCAAACTATGTAAAATTAAAAATATATGTCAGAACATCATTAAGAAACAAAAGGCAAAAAATAGACTGTGCAATTTATTTGCCACATATGTGATATTTAAAAAATTCTTTTAAAGAGATCATGCTTAGTGGTAAGAAAAATTATGAAATATAGTAGAAAAGTGGGTCAAAGGTGTAAACATACATTTCTTTTTCTTTCCTTTTTTTAAAAGAAATAATTGAAAGACAAGGACAGACAGAGGGTGAGGGAGAGAGATGTGAGCAAAAGTACTGGGCAGAGACAATCCCAGCCAACACCATAAAAACTTTCTAGATACACTTCTTAGAAAAAGAACCAGCAACAGCTATCACGTTTACTACTAATCAAAGCAATGAAAATAAAGAAAAGGTGTTTCCACTTTTTTTCATAAAATGAAACATTTTAAAATGGATATTCACATTCTGTTGAAAGGGTGGTTTAGCATAATCTTGTTGGAAATTAATTTGACAAAATGTGTTATGGTCTTAAAAAAGTTTATATCCTTTGATCCAAAAATTCCAAGAGAGTCTTCTCCTAAGGAATTATGAGAGGTATAAAAAGATTTATATGCAAACAATTTCATTGCAGCATGAACTATAAGAATCAAAATTTTGTGGTGGTGGTGGGGGGGGAACCTCAAAAGCCTAACAGTAAGAGAATGAGAGAAAGTGAAAGTGTAAGTCGCTCAATAGTGTCTGACTCTTTGTGACCCCATGGACTGTAGCCCACAAGGCTCCTCTGTCCATGGGATTCTCCAGGCAAGAATACTGGAGTGCATTGCCATTCCCTTCTCCAGGGGATCTTCCTGACTCAGGGATAGAACCTGGGTCTCCCACATTGTAGGCAGATTCTTCACCATCTGAGCCTGGTTGTGTAAGTTATAGTGCACAGAAGTAATATCACAGAAACATTTTCTGTGGGAAGTAGTCATGTACATAAAGTACGGTTTTATTTATGTCAAACTCCTCTCTTTCTATCACACACATGCAAAGAAAAGAAAATTGGAGAGAAATATACCAACATGTTAAGAGTGGTTATCACTAGATTGTGGGATTGTAGATAAAAATAAAACTTCCTTTTTAATATTTCTGTACTTTCTATTTTTTCATGAGGAATGTGTATTCTCCTTTAAATAAAAAAAGAAAGTAAAAATTGACTTAAAAATGTTATCTAGCAAAAACTTTCACAACTTTACCACTGTTAACCATGTGAACTTTGTAAATGGCTGTTTTTAATACCTAATAATTAATAAAACTAATAATTATGGAGTACTCTATGCAGTAATACTGATAATGGCAATTGCTCAGTACTATGTGAAAAGCATTTAAACATTTCTATTTATGGTATCAACTGCTACCTGTAAAACAGACTTATAGAAAGGATTCTAATCCTTCCCATTATATAGATGAGAAAACTGAGACTCCTAATGGGTAACTGGCTTGCTCAGAGTCACAGAGCTTTCAGTGATGGAGCCAGTGCTTGAAATCAGTTTGTCTGACACCAGAAACCCTGTTCTTCTTCACTAGAAGTCCACTGGTGAAGGCACATCCCCCCTGGACAGCATGAAATACTCACAAGACAGCCCTTCCAAAGTGAGCCTGCATCACAAGACCACAAAAGTCACAGTCTTGGGTTGGCTCAGTGCTGAGTCCAAACTCATTTGATTGTTAGAATCAATTAGCAGTCAGAAGACTGATTTGAGGAGAAAATCCAATTTTCCTTGAAGTTGAAGAAAACAGGCTTTTCCCTATTTTATTCAATGAAAATAGGGAGAAAAACCACAACAGAGCTGAGGCAGTATTTCCTGACCTTTTCCTAAACAGAAGCTTCTGTTCATTCATTTTCTAGGCCTCTATGCCTGACCCGTACCCTGCAGATGGACAGTCTTTTCCTTTAGAAATACCGGTATTTTTAATTAGGTTAAAGCCAAGGCCTCCAGATCTGGAAGCATTTTCTGCCTCCTTCCGTGACTGTCCACATCTCTGTGATGTTCTGTAAAGGGTTAATATTTAACTTAGATGTGGTGACTTTCTTGTCTTTAGTTTTCCACTTCCTTAAGTGTTGGGTTGGGTCCTTTTGGTTTCCCAGACCTTCCCACACCTTGCAGGCTTGTGTGAGGATTAGTGATGGTGGTAGAAAGCTGATTATTCTGTAGACTCCACGAAGACAGGGTAATTCTAGCCTTGTCCCCATATGGACCTGCCTTTTTTGGCCTGGTGCCCTGCACGTAGCAGGTATAGCAGATCTTTGATGCGTAACAATATGAATGAATGAACATGGCACATAGCACAATGTGCCTAAGAGCCAGGGCCCCATCACTCCTAGCCATGTTACACTGTTAGCCTGCCCCTCTCTGGCCCTTAGACTGCACATCTGTATGACAAAGGGCTTGCATTGTCGGTCTCAAGAGTCCGCCCAGCTCTGACATCTGTTCCTGTGTCTAAATACTCCTGCAGTGAGCTGGGGCTCAGGGAGGAAAGATGATCTTCCCAGTCTGTGCCCAGAATTATTTGATGTGTTCTCCATGTGAGATGAGGAGCCTGTGGACCCTCCTGGGGCTTGCTCAGCCCCCTATGTACCCCATCTGGGCCTCTCTCACATGGCAGTCTGCAACATCTGTCAGAAGCACTTGGTGCCAAGATGACTCTTGCCTCAAATATGTCCTTGGAAAGCCCTGGCGATAGGAAGCCTACCGGGAGTTTATGTAACTGGATGAGTGGACAGGAGAGCATGAGCAAAGGGCTCTGTGAGCCCTCATGGTGACTCAACAACAGGCTTCATGCAGCGTGAAAACTCCAGAGGACAGAGCACCTTGGGGACTAGGGCAGGAAATTCTGCTGTTTGCCATTTCCTTCTCCAGGGGATCTCCCTGACCCAGAGATCAAAGAACCCAGGTCTCCCCCATTGCACAGACTTTTTACCCTCAAAGCCATCAGGGAAGCCTGTCCTAACTTTACATGTATATATATATATATATATATGATGGTTATTCCTCTTTTTACTCTAAAAAGAAAAGGTTTGAAGTAGCTGACCTAAACATAGAGTCTGAGTAATAAAAGAATGAAAAATAATTGAGGAAATCAGGATGAAGGAAAAATAGTTTTAATAGTTTTCTGGGGAGGGTGTTGACCCTCCAGATCCACTCTCCACCCTTCTCCATGCTGCTGTCTGCTCTGGGAACTGGCTGGTGTGACCTGTATCTAGATTCTCTGTGGGTCTGGCCATGGGAATGACCAGCAGGAGGTCAAAAGGAGAACAGGGTGAGGTTGCGAGGTCTCTTTGGGCAGGCTGCGTCCTTCCATGCGGGACACAAGTCCTCTCAAGGTAACCTTCCCAACAAGACTTTGTACTTCTAGACAGGTAACTGCTCTGTCCCTCAGGTGGAGGGCTGAGAAACCCCACTGTTACTGGCCCCTGGTCACTGTATTTCCCTTCCCTCCAGCCCACAACTCTGTAAGTAGTCCCACTGTAAATAAAGCCTGCTTGAATTACACTAATTTCAGTGGACCATCTGTTTCCTGTTAGGACTCTGGCTGATATATAAGGATAGGTAGAAAATGAGAGGCAGTCAGGAATAATGGTCATAAATTAAGTACAAATCATGGTGCCCTGTACATGCGCTCCCCTCAAAAGGTGCATATGTACATATGTGGCTCATTTGATTCTGACCTTCCCAGTGACCAAAGCATCCAGTCTTATTTCTCCTTCATGCTGGAGCCTAAAGGCTCTTCCTTCATAACACAGTCACCATCACTCCCATTACCTTGTGTTGTGGATTGAATTTTGTCCCCACAGAAGGTAAGTTCAGGTCCTAGCCCCTCATACCTATGAATGGGACCTCACTTGGAAGAGGGTCTTTGCAGAGGTAACCGCATTAAAAGGCGGGCTCATCCTCACCCTGTGACTGATGACCTTATAGGAAGAGGGAACTTCTGACACAGAAACTCACACAGGGGCACATCATGTGAAGATGGGGGCAGAGGTGGGAGTGATGTGCGACCACCAGAAATTAGGATAGGTAGAAACTGGGACAGATTCTCCCTCAGAGGCTCCAGAAAGAACAACCCTAGTGACAGGGCTGATGCCTTGATTCCAGCCCTCTAGTCTAGAACCGTGAGAGAATAAGCTACTGGTTTTAGCCACCATGTTTGTGGTTCATTCATTATGGCAGTCCTAAGAAAACTCCTGCCTCTTGATATAGCACCAAGGCTCTTCATGATCTGGCTGCACCTACCTTTCTGTATTCATCTCCCATCACTCACCAGTTCACACTTTAAGCTCTGGTTCTCACATATGCCACGGTCTTTCATGTTTCCAAGCCTTTGGCTATGTTCTTGTTGTTTTGAATAACTTTCCTGCTTTACTGGACTTGACTAAAATTTTGTCACTCTGAGACATTCACCTCGGGCATCACTTTCTCCAGGAGACCTCCCCTGTGTCTCCCAGCTGTGTTGGGCCACCTGCTTTGGACTCCTACATTATCATAACAGATAGCTGAAGCATTTGTTTCCCTCTCTAGATAATAACGTTCTTAAGGGAAAGTTTCTACCTCTGCATCTCCGGGGTCTAGAACAATGCCTGGTACATGGTAGATGTCCTATTGATGTTTCTAGAACTGTACAGTTCCTCAGTATGACGTGATCTGGTACTTACTATAAGCTAGCTGCTTTTCTAGCTTTGTATGTTTTTCATTCGTGGATGAAGAAGGTGAATCTTGGAGAGTGTGATGGTTAATTTTATGTGTCCATTTGGCTAGGCTTTGTGCCTGTTTGCTTGGTCAAAAATCAGTCTGTGTAATAAAGGTGCTTTTAAAGATGTGATTAACACAAATCAGTTGACTTTGAGTAAAGCTGCTTAACTCCATAATGTGGGTGGGCCTCATTCAATCAGTTGAGGGCCTTAAAAAAAAAAAAAGATGGAAGTCCCCTGAGGAAGAAGGAATTCTGCCTCTAGATGGCTTTTGGACTCAAATGCAGCAACAACTTCTAACCCTAACTCTTCGCGACCCCACGGACTGTAACCCACCAGGCTTCTCTGTCCATGGGATATTCCCTGCAAGAATACTAGAGTGGGTTGTCATTTCCTTCTCCAAGGGTTCTTCCTGACCCAGAGATTGAACCTGTGTCTGCTGTATTTCCTGCATTGCAGGTGGATTCTTTACCTTTGAGCCATCGGGGAAACCCTTTTAACTGAATTGACAGCCTATTACTTGCTGTACAGATTTTGGACTTGCCAGCCTCGATAGTCACGTGGACCAGTTCCTTAGACTAAATCTCTCTCTCTCTTCAAGTGTATCCTATTGGTTCTGTTTCTCTGGAGAACCCTGACTAACAGAGAGAGGATATTTTCTGAGGTTACATGTGTACATGTAGTTGAAATAGGATTGAAATTAGGTCTGACGCGATAGTCTAGGCTCTTCCATTTCAATCTGCTGCCTCTTTAACTGGACAGTTAGAGATGAAGGATGAGCTGTACACTGTGCTGTTGTCCCTGACAAATCTGTCTTGAGCAATCAGCTCGGAGCCTTGCATGGAGTATGTTGATCAAATGAGTTGTGTATTTATTAAATCTCATTTCACTTTTGCTCAGCAAACAGAAATGTTTATTCCGTCAAAAAACACAACTGCTAAGTGAGGCAATATAATTAGGGACCCAGTTCTTTAAAGTGGCTGAGATGTTCATTGGCAGAACATTAAAAATGAGAGATGTTGATTTTAGCTCTGAACAGCGATGCCATTTTTCATTTCTGTGTCATATAGTGTTTACACAGCTCAGAAATGATGGCAGTACCCAAATATTCATTCCCGTCTCTATGACAGCCTGCCTTCCAGAGAATGAGCATTCTAGGAGTGGACCTGTGTGAGGACAAGGCAAAGTGCAGCCTGGGGAAATTACCCTTTATTGAGAAGTTAATATTTGTTTCTTTTTTTTTTTTTAATATTTATTTGGCTGCTTTGGGTCTTAGCTGTGTCATGTGGGATCTTTGGTGTGGCGTTCTAACTCTCTAATTGCAGTTCTGGGCTCCAGAGCACATTGGCTGTGGTTGAAGTGCATGGGCCCAGTTCCTCCGTGGTGTGTGGTATCTTAGTTCCTTGACCAGGGTTCGAACTTGCATCCCTTGTATTGCAAGGCAGATTCTTAATCACTGGACCACCAGGGAAGTTCCGAGAAGTTAACATTTGTCTTTTACCTTAAACCTTACTACCCTTTAAGTTAGTTCTGACACCATTTTGCAAATGGTGAAGCTGGGTCTCAGACGGGAGCAGTAGCTCAGTTAGTTTGAAAAACATATTCAAGAGATATTTGTGAGCAGCTACTATGTGCCAGCCACTAGACTGAGTGCTGAGGATTCAAAGGTAGATAAGCATGATAGATGTTGGTCCTTGCAAAGTTAATACCCTGCTGAGGCAGAAAGGGATGAAATAGATGAAAATAAAACACGTCCAAGTAGTGTGACTCTGTGCTGCTAATGGCAGGGTTGGGATTCAAACGAGAGTGTGGAAACCTTCAAATCCCAGACTTGTTTTGGGTTTCTTTTCCTGCTTTGGCGGTGTCCTTGTTTTATAATGCTCCTTATTCTGGTGACTTCCTAGGGACTGCTACTAAAAAATCCCGCTAAGTTTCATTTTTCTTAACTGTAATAATTGGAAGTTGATGTGAGGCTCAGCTGAGAGCATGAATGAAGAAGGGCTTTATAAATATTAAGAAGCTCTCCAAAGGCTGGTTTTTCATTAACAAACAATCATGTTCTGTGTGCTTAGTCATGTCTGACTTTTTGCAACCCCATAGGTTCTCTATCCACGGGATTCTTCAGGCAAGAATACTGGAGTGGTTTGCCATTTCCTACTCCAGGTGATCTTCCCAATGTAGGGATTGATTGCATTGATGCATCCTGCATTGGCAGGTGGATTCTTTACCACTGTGCCACCTGGAAAGCCCCAACAATCACCTGTCTGAACCTTTTCAATGGATAGCTGAGCATTATTCAAAATAGTATGAGGGTGATAGCAGAGTGAGATTTTTCTTTGCATAATATATGCAACAGAGGCTTTTAGCAAATTAATAGCCAAATAAGATTGGAAAAATTAAATATAAGGATTTACAATCTGTATAAAATTTGTTAGTTTTCTAGTTTTTCAACCCTCTATTAGTTACAGTGAGCATTTCCCTACAACAACATATTTATCACAGAAATTTTATTTACCAAATAAAAGAAAAAGAAAAAAGCAAGCATTAGGTATTTTATCCACTAGACTGAAATCAGGGAACTCTGTATTTTAAATTCTCCAAACCAAACTTCTCTCTCCTTTTCTTTTAGGTGAGACTGTTGTTGCTTATAAATTTTGATCCCTGACCACAGCCTGGTTCCAAAGAATCTGTCTTATGTACTTTGTGACAAGTATAAATATCTAGGACATAGCCAGCCTTCGTTTTTTAGAGGTGTTGCTTTTTATTTAATTTACTTCCTGACCTGTTTGACGGTCATTATCTGATAGCCTACATTGTAATCTCTACCTTCAAAAATTTTAGCCAAACCATGACATTTTTCTCTGTTGCCCTGAGGTCTACAGATAATAATGCCTGGGACAGAGTAACTGTTCAATAAATGATAGTTATTGTTAAAATAATAATAATAATTACTATTATTGCATATGTATTTTTATTATTGCATATGTATTTTTTCATTGCATGTGTATTTTCAGAATGGATAGGTAGAAATTGGAATGAAACCAAATAAAATCTGTGAGTAGAAAGCAACTTAAAAAAATTGTGTATCCTTTTAGACCCTCATTCCTAGCCTGTTTTTTCCTATGTTACACAGGGTTCCAACATGTTAAACATTTAGGTTATACACAGAGGATTAGAAGTAACAGAATCTTCCTAGAAGGAAAGAAAGAAGTTTGTGTATTTCTCTCTGCCAGATACTGAAAGGTTATCAGTTTTCTCTTCCTGCTCATGGTAGAATCAGAGCTGACTTTGACCCTGGCTCTTCCCCTCACTGGCAGAGTGTTATTTGGGATTGCATGTCACCAGCCTCTTTTATTTTAAAGAATAAAATGAAATAAAGTGTATTCACTCAATCATGTCTGACTCTTTGAGACCCCGTGGACTGTAGCCCACCCAACTCCTCTGTCCATGGAATTCTCTAGGCAAGAATACTGGAGTGGTTTGCCATTCCCTTCTCCAGGGGATCTTCCCAACCCAGGGGTCGGACCCGGGGCCTTTCACATTTGCAGGCAGATTCTTTACCATCTGAGCACCAGGGAAGCCCTTAAAATGAAATAATTGTTATGAAAAAATAATAACACCAATTTTATGGTGATAATAATATCCATGCCATAGAATTATTAACAAGGAGAACACACATTTGCCCCGCTCTTTATATTGCACGTGACCTTCATCTACATGGTTACTGTAAATCCCCTAAGAGCCCTGAGCAGTCAAGGTGTGAATCCCCACTTGACCAGTGAGCAAAACCAGGCCTGGGAGTGAGTAATGCCTCTCTGGCTACATTACTAGTTAATAGCCCTGCTGGGACTAGAGCCCCAGCTCTCCTTCCTTCCGTCCACTTTGTTGCTCTTAAATGTAATTATTACAGCCATCAAGTACAGTAGAATATGGCTTAAGCAAGGGGATTTCCATCCTGTATTTCCCAAGACTCTTCAATTTGTTTGATGCATTTGAGTTAACAAGCACCTCTTCAGTGCCTAATACATCAGATCCCATGAGAACTTGGGGTGATGAGTGTGGAAGAGAGAGAAACATGCTAGATGCATGCCGGTCTGCAAAGGACCCCGGGTTTAGTGGTGCATGAGGACATTAACAGAGGAAAGAAAATTAAAAAAAATTCAAATGGCTTTTATAATGTAAAATTACAACAAAGTGAGTATGGATAAGACTCATATATTTCCCCAAATCTGATTATACAAAATTAAGTTATTTTGTTATTTTGTTTTCGAGAAGCAAGGCCATATTCTGGTGAGCAGGGTAGGGTTTTCTTTTGAAGAGAATAATTGATTCCATTGTCAGTCATTCTGGGAATTGTTATTCCTTGGAGAGAAGATGGGTAAAATTTTGAACTGGGTCAAGATTTTGGCTCAGACTTTGAACTGGTGATGGAGGATTGAGACAATTGTGATAGTGATATGAACAAGAATTGGGGTGGGGCATCATATTAAGATGAATAATGGCCCCCAAAGATATCAATTCCTCATCCCTCTGACCTGTAGATCTTATCTTACTTGGACAGAGAGTCTCTACAGCTGTAATTAAGCTAAATCTCCTGAGATGGCGAGATTATCTGGGATTATCAGGGTGGTTCTGAAATTCAACAACATGTATTCTTTTAAGAGCAGGCAGAGGGAGATTTGAGGACAAACAGAAAAGGAGGAGACAATGTGATCTGGAAGACAGAGACTGGAGTGATGCAGCCACACATCAAGAAAGAGGCCTTCTTCAAGGAGCCACACATCAACGAGAACACCTTCTCCCCAGAAACCTCTGGTGGGAACATGGCTCTGCCTACACCTTCATTTTGGTCCCGTGACACTGATTTTGGACTTCTGGCTTCCAGAACTGTGAGAAGATACAATTCTGTGGGTCTAAAGCTACAGAGTTTGTTATACCAGCCTTAGGAAACTAATACAGGGGCTTAGAGGATAGTCAGCTGCCCTTGGCCAGGCAGAGGACACACATTTGCAGTGTCCCAAAGCTCCAGCTTCACTGGTGGCAATGATGGTAGTTGCAGCACTGGTCCAAGTGGTCCAGAGATGCAAGGGGATTTGGGAGCAGCCAATATCCATGGCAGCCTCAAGGGGGTGGATATGAATTCCAGGGCCATTATCAGGGATGAAAGGAACATAGGACTCCTCTTGGACTGTGAGGAGAGTCAGGCCTTTGCAGGGATGGAGAGGGGGCATCAGTGTTCACCGCCAATAGAGAGCAGGGACTTTGGGGGGTGATTCAGCCTGGAGGCAGAAGAATGGGTAATGGCAAGGACAGGCCCATCCCTCACACTGGCAGGGCCTGTAGCAGGAGTTCACATGGAACCTGTACACCATATGTCTAAATATTTAAAAGTTATAAATCAACTCAATAAACTATTAAGCAATATATTTTGAAAATATATTTTGAAATTAAAGCAACATGTTATGTGTTTGAATGTAGTCTTGAAACTACATTTAAAATGTAGTTTTTAAATGAGTAAAAGTTGGCAAAGTATAAAATATGACTGAATTTCATTGCTATTGAATATATCTGAGTGTTCTGTTGATGAGCCAAAAATGTTTGGATGAGTGACAGACATACACAATTCATAAATTTTGATGTTATTATTCCATAAAATTAATTTTCTTGCCTCCACTTCTGCAAAATTAGCAATTATGCTTTTTAATCTTCATTATGTAATGCCCTTTTTTATCTTTGACAATATTCCTTGCTTGCAAGTCTGCTCTGTTTGAAATTAATATAGCTACTCTTGCTTTCTTTTGATAGCATGGCTTAAAAATGCACAAAATAAATGAAAAAAAGAGAAAGAAAACAAATAAAATGAGGCCAATGATAATTTTGCTTTCTGCCTAGAGGAACTTTTGGTGCTATGATATAAGGGTGAGAATTCTAGTCAGACTATGATAGTCCCATGGAATTCAGGAGTCAGAGATCAGAGTTCAGGGAAGTGGACTTTGCTGGAATTTGTAGAGGAGAAGACCAAAGGGGAAGGAACTACACAGAGAAAAAGCTCCAGAAATCTGCATGAGTTTCTTTTGAGTCTGTTGTTAAATATTAAGCTGCACACACACAGAGGGAAACTATGCAGCCATGAAAAGAATGACTGGCGAGCTGTAAGCAGAACAATTCCTAAAGCTCTCATAGTATTGAGAGAGATTTGCAACCAGAGCAGAGAGATCCCATTGAACACCTAAGACATTCAGTAAATACCAGAAGGATCATCTCCTATGAGAAGTCCTAGACAAGCCACAAATCAAAGGCTTCTCTATCAAGCTTAAGTATAATCTTAAAAGGATCAGGGTGAACCATAAGTTATTTAGCTGCCTGTCAGAACAAAGCTGACACTCTTTATAGGAGGACAACAAAATCCAGCACACAACAATGTACAGGATTCAATTAGAAATTATTAGACATGTTAAGAAGTAAGAAAATGAGATAATAATAAAGGAAGAATCAGCCAATAGAGACATGTCCAAAAATGACAGATAATAGAATTAGCAGATAAGATCTTTGTAATAGCTATAATTTTGTTTTAAGTATTTAAAGGAAAACATGGACACAATAAATACTGAAATGGAAGACTTTAAAAGAACAGTGAAATAGAACATATAGGTGAAAAATACAATTTTTTTTTTACAATGAATTTTAAACAAAAAACCCACATCTAGTGGGATAACACAGATTGGATGTTATGGAAGATACATCTCTGAAACAATAAATTATCTGCCTTAGTTTACTTGGGCTGCCATAATGAAATATCACTGACCAAGTGGCTTAAACAACAGAAATTCATTTTCTCATAGTCCTGGAGGCTAGAAGTCCAAGATCAAGGTGCCTTCAGGGTTGGTTTTAGGTGGAACTACTCTTCCTAGCTTGCAGATAGCTGCTTTATTACTGTATCCTTGCATGCCCTCTTCTCCCTGTGTACATACAGAAGAAGAAGAAGAAAGAGAGAGAGAGAGAAAGAGAGGGAGAGAAGATGTTCTGTGATGTCTCTTCCTTTCTTATAAGAACATGAGTCCTTTGGATTAGTACCAATCCTTTTGACCTTATTTAACCATAATTCCCTCCACTAAAGGCCTTATCTCCAAATAAGTCACATTGGGGATTAGGGCTTCTACACATACATTTTAAGGGGGCACAATTCATTCTACAACAGTATCCAAACTAAGGCACAGAGAGGAAAAAAATGCTTGAATGGAAAAGACAGAACCCCTATTAACCTTAGGAGATGCTGGGTAAAGGATATAGAGGAACTCACTGTACTATTTTTTGCAATTATTCAATAAGTCTAAAATTATCTCAAAATAAAAAGCTAAAAATAAATTTCCCCACAGAACAACAACAACAAAACCATCTTAATGCCCAGATGGCTTCACTGATAAGTTCTACTAAATATTTAAGAAAGAAATAGTAGCAATCTTACACAAATTCTTTCTAGAGGAAGAGGGAATACTCTCCAACCCACTTTATGAACCTAACATTACCTACCCTGACACTAAAACCAGCCATAGATATTACAAGAAAGGAAAATTCAATATTAACTTCCTATGAATACAGATGCAAAATATTAGCAAAAAATTAGCAAATCAGATCCAGCAATATCCTGTATTTATTCCAGGAATACAAATTTTGTATAACATCTGAATTTAGTTAATGTAATACATGATGTTAATAAAATAAAGGAGAAAAGAATATGAACATTTCAATAGACACAGAAAAAGCATTTGACAATATTCAACACCTATTCATGATAAAATTCTCAGCAAACTAGGAACAGAAAGAAACTTTTCTAACCTGATAAAGGTCATTTACAATAAAACCTCCAACTGAGACCTCATACTTGAGGTTAAGAATGAATACCTTCCTCTATGCTCAAGGATGTCCATTTTCACCAGTTGTATTCATTATTTTACCAGAGACCCCAGAGAGTCAATAATGTAAGGTGAAAAAAGGCACTTAGATTGGAAAGTGAAAGTCACTCACAGGGGTCTGATTCTTTGTGACCCCATGGACTGTAGCCTGCCAGGCTCCTCTGTCCATGAAATTCTCCAGGTAAGAATACTGGAGTGGGTAGCCATTCCTTTTTCCAGGGGATCTTCCCAACTCAGGGATTGAACCTGGGTCTCCCACATTGCAGGTGGATTCTTTACTGTCTGAGCCACCATGAAAGTGGCTCAGATTGGAAAGAAGTAAAACTGATTTTATTTGTGGATGACATGATTATTCATGTAGAAAATCCCACGAAAACTACAAAATCTCCTAGAACTAAATGAATTTAGCAAGGTCATTGGATACAAGTACAATATGCCCCAAATCAATTATATTTCTATATAGAGCAAGAGACAATTGAAAAATGAAACAAAAAGCCACTGTAATTTAAAGTAGCATCAAAAAAAAAAAAGGAAGTAAAATAGGTTAATTTAGATATGTGAAAACTGTAAAACACTGGTGAGAGAAATTAAGACCTAAACCAGTAGTGTAATATACTATGCTCAAGAATCAGAAACTCATTAGTTTCAAGACACTAATTCTCTTTCAAATTAATCTATAGGTGTAATGAAATCCCGATAAAAATTTCAGAAGAATTTTTGTAGAAACGGACAAGATTATTCTAAAATTTACATGGAAATGCAGAAACCTAAAGTAGCCGAGACACTTGAAAAAGAACAAAGCTGGAGAAGTTGCCATAACCTGATACCAAGATTTATTATGAAACCATGGTAATCATGACAGAGTGGTATTGTTGCAAAGATAGACATGTGGGTTAATGAAACATAGTACAGTCTAGAAGGAGACCCACAAATAGAGATGTAGCCAGAGAAGAATGACCCAAGCAGTGATAGCTATTGAATTGCAGGCAGATACTTTACCGTCTGAACCACCAGGGAGGCAGCCAGTTATTGAATACTATTATTCAAAATATTATTCAAATATCCAATATCACTTTTTTAAATGGATGCTATTCAAATGTGGACATTTTTCTAAGCCAGAGTTTTTAAAAATTTCTATTATTTTCACGGGTACAGCAAAGTGATTTAATTATACATATATATATATATCTGTTCATTCTTTTTCAGATTTTTTTCCCCATATAGGTTATTACAGACTATTGAGTAGAATTCTTTGTGCTATACAGTAGGTTCTTATTATTTTATATACAGTAGTGTGTATATGTTAATCCCAAACTCCTAATTTTTCCCTCTGCCCAAACATTTCCTCTTTGGCAGCCATCAGTTTGTTTTCTAGGTCTATGAGTCTGATTCTGTTTTATGAATAAGTTAATTTGTATCATTTTTTGAGAGTCCACATATAAGTGATATCATATGATATTTATCTTTGTCTGACCTACTTTAGTTAGTATGATAATCTCTAGGTTCATCCTTATTGCTGCAAATGGCATTATTTCATTCTTTTCGTGACTGGGTAATATTCCATTGTATATACCTACTGAATCTTCTTTATCCATTTCTTTGTTGATGGACTCTTAGGTTGCTTCCGTGTCTTGGCTATTGGAAATAGCGCTACAGTGAACATTGGGGCGTGTGTGTCTTTTCCAATTATGGTTTTCTCTGGGTATATGCCCAGGAGAAGGATTCTGGATCACATGGTAGCTCTGTTTTTAATTTTTTAAGGAACCTCCATACTGTTCTCCAATGTGGCTGCACTAATTTATATTTGTACCAACAGTGTAGGAACATTTATTTTTGTAGACTCTTTAAATGATGGCCATTCTGACTGGTGTTGGGTGATAACCTCATTGTAGTTTTGATTTGTGCTTTTCTAATAATTAACAATGTTGAGGATCTTTTTATGTGCTTTTTGGGCCATCTGTATGTCTTCTTTGAAGAAATGTCTATTTAGATCTTCTGCCCATTTTTTGATTAGGTTGTTTGTTTTTCTGATATTGAGTTTAAGTCTTATTTTTAGATCTAGGAATTTCAGTTTTTTCCCACTATTTTCAATAAAAAAACTGAAAGACTTTCTCTTTGAGTTTTTCTTTTCCTTTGTTCCTTTTAGCTTTTGTATTTTCTGAATTTCACTTTTTGAAATTTCTATCATGATCACAACTTTTATTCATTCTCAATGATATATTCTAAAGGATTGAAAATAAAATGTAATTGTATTTAATGTATACATAATTTGAATATTCTCATTAAAATGTAAAAATAAAAACAATATTCTATGTTTGTCAGGAATTTTATTTTTCTGACATAGTCAAACTGAAAGGCAAACTACAAATTGTATTCAGTGAATATCAAACTATAAAATATTTAAAGGTAAAACTTTTTGAAGTTTTAAATAGGGATATTTACATATTTTAATAAAAACAAAACTATCAAAAAATAGAACAGTCTGGCCATTTAGTTACACTTTTATAGGGCTATTGTCATTTCACTAATGTTTCTTCTAGACTTGTATATAAGAAGCATTTTTATTAGCAACTGAATTAATATTACAAAGTTTTCCTTAGCTACTGTGACTATTGGGTTCATTTGTAAATACCTTTGAAATTATGAATTCAAATGTTAAAAAAGAAGAGCATTACTAGAAACCAATACTTTACAATATAGGAATTGATGGCAGTCAGGCTCTCTGAATGACAGTTAATCTGTCTTTTGTCCTCTCTAGGCAATTTGACCCTTCAGTTTTCTCCTTTCTCAGAAGGAGGGTCGTTTCTGATATTGGCAGCACAAATTCTCACAGTTCTCGGACCCAGCTGCTCTTTGATTCAGGGACAGAAGGAAAGAGGATGCCTTTTCCTGGACCTAGTAAAGTGTTAGTCCAGGGATTGGCTGTGTTACAGGCGGCACTGTGCCAGTGCTAAGCCCCAACCCTCTGTGTGTGTGTGTGTGTGAGACCCTCTCACCCACAGGCCCATGACTAGGGTTCCTCTTACCCAGGACTAAGTGTGGTTCTGGGTGGGCAAGCCAGCCCATTGAGGCCTCTCGAGCAGTACACACATGGGCTCTGTAGAGCAGAAGTGTATAGAAACAGAGAACGGTACAGCCCCTTAAAAAAAAACACTCAAGATGATTCCTAAATTCCTTGTTCCCTCTGTGCTTAGCAGATCTGTCTGTGTGCTATTGAGCTCTCATCTAACTTGAACCAGAGAAATTTCATTTTTAATCAGTTTTCTATATTGGACTTTAGCCCATGATTTTATTGGGAAACAAAAGTTTCCTTTATTAAAAAAAAAAAGCAAAAGATGGAAAAAGTGATCTGGTCCAATTACCACTCCACATTCCCTTTCTAATTAGGAAGACTGAGGCGAGAGAAGGACGGTGACTGTCCAAGCTGATTGTCCAACAAGCTGCAAGACCCAGACCAGAAGCCAGGTGCCCAGACTGCCTGTGTGTTCTGCTTCCTCATGCCCCATGGAATCAATCAAGGATGGGATAAACAGCGTATTACTGTGTTGATCTCAGTGAAGAATTTCTGTGATCTGTTCAGTCTCTTCCCAGAGCTCGCCTGGCCCTTAGTGGGCTAGAAGACACTATGTACTTTCCTTAAGGTTTTGGAGGCTATTGATGAAATCGGAGATCTCACGCTCATTTGTGCTTTTGGCTGACTTGTCATTTTTCTATTGCTTATAGATTATGTGGTGGGAAAACAGCAGGCACCAAGTTTGAACTTGATCCTATTCCCTTCCTGTCCATATCTGGGTCTTTTCCTCTCCATTCCATCCTATATTCATCTGAAATATTTATTAGTACCTTCTATGGACCGTTTATCACAGTGTAGCATCTTGGAGACATGGTTGTCTTTCATCTTTCTTTAATCTACTTCCTTGTCTTCCTTGTCCATTGCATCTCTCATCTGCATATGTGTTTGTGTCTCTCTGGGTTTTTTGGTCAAAGTGTCTCTCTCTTTTTCTTCCCCTTTTTTCCTTCTCCCTTCCCTTTTCTTCCTCCTTCTCTTGTATTGCTACCTTTCTTTGTTTTTATTCCCTTATTTTTTGCTGTTTTTGCTCTCTCCTTTTCTGACCATTTTTAAAGTCTTTATTGAATTTGATATGATACTGCTTCTGTTTTATGTTTTGTTTTTGCTTTTTTGGCCACGAAACATGTGGGATCTTAGGTCCCTGACCAGGGACTGAACTTTCACGCCCCTGCATTGGAAGGTGAAGTCTTAACCACTGGACCACCAGGGAAGTCCCATCTCTTTCTTTTTCTATTTAGTTTCTCTCACTTTCCCCTTGTCTTTTGCTCCCCACTCTGTTTCACCTTTGTTTCTTCCTGCATCTCTGAGCTGGCGTGTCTGTCTCCTTTGTCTGCTGTCAGATTCTTTCTTCAGACTGTGTGTGTGTGTGCTTGTGCACAAAGTGGGAGGCTGCAAAGGCTTCTTGAATTTCTGCTTTTCACGCAAGTCCATGAGAGGACACTGAAGCCACCCCATTTGTTCAGCCAATTTCACAAGAGTTTCCTTTTCTGACTATTTGATTATGTAAACACATTTTGATCCCACTGAAAAGGAGCTCTGGATCTCACTGGGCTTCTGCATTGGACAAGCAGGAAAGAGATTTTTTTTTCAGGTTGTAAGGAGACCTGCCCTAGCTTTAAATACTACATGGTATGAAAATAAGTTACTAAGCCAAGACTAATCTATGAGGGTTTCATAGGCAAGGTAATATTTGATTTGGGTCTTGAAGCATGAATAGGAGTTTTCCAGGAAGAAAAGGGAGGAGGGTATTATTTATAGAGGAAATGGCACAGAAGGATAAGGTCTGGGAGACTGAGAACATGGTGTATAAGAGAATGAGGCTGGAAAATTATGTTGGGGCCCAAACCTGGGGACTTTGAATGCTAGGATGAGGAAATTGGTCTTTTTCCTGATGGCCATGTGGAGTCATAAGAGAGTTTTAGGCAGGCGTGTGGCAGAGTTAGTATGGTCAATGACAGGGAGGTATTGAGACTAGAGGTCTAGAGAACTGGGGGAAATTGAGGCAGTCTTCCAGGTAAGGGAGAATGAGCCACAGTGATAATATTCCTCCTGATCATACCATGCTTTTTCTTAAATATGTCTCCATCTATTTGCCTGAGGGTTTGTATTCATTAAAAATTTTTAATGAGCCTGTCCTATGTACTCAGGTGTGAGGCATTAGGGGTGTGGCGATAACAAAGACATGGTCAAGCTCAAGTCTCAGGGAGATTACAGTTGAGAGGGAATATAGACACATCAACAGGTTTCTTCATAACCCTTCATTATGAAAGGACAGAGTAAGTAACAGGGGGATGTGGGAGTCCAAGGGGGGAACCTAACGTAAGGGAGAAGGCCAGTCAGGGTGGGCTTCCTAGAAGAAGTGAAGCTTTAGTTGGGCTAGATTGGCCTGCATAGTTTTCCAAGTATAGTCCCTAGTCTAGAAGCACCAGCATTCCCTAGGAAATCATAAGAAATGCAAATCTTGAGGGCCCATCCCAGGCAGAAAGAATCAGAAACTGGTTATGGGAGCCTGACTATCTGTGTTTTAACCAGTCCTTGAGGTCTGCTGAAGTTTGAGAACCACTGCTCTAGGTAAGAGAGGAGGAAGTTGCCCCAGGCCAAAGAAGCAGGTTTGCAAGGGCAGGGAGATGGTGGATGGCGGGCTGGAGGGTAGGGCCACTGTGTGACTGAGCTGCAGAGGAGCCTGCGAGGCTGGCCGGTACAGACCTTGGAGGTGTGTGGATTGTAGGGGTGGGAAGCCACAGAAGACCTTTGGAGAGGCATAGTCAGGTTTCTCTTTAGAGTCAGTGTGACTAGGCATATGTAAAGCAGGCACTCCATCAGCATCCTTCATCTAATGCCTGGGCTCCAGATCAGGGAGTTCAAACAAAGGCTCTTTTCTCTTGCCAGCTCTGGTCCATCAGTAGCATCTGCCTGAATACTATGTTGAGGAACATCCTGAAGTCAAATCTGGGATGTAGAGAAATGAAGTTTGTGACTAGGTAACCAAGGTAGGCATGGTCATGAAGCCGTAGGGGGGAGGCTGGGTTGGCTTATGTGGCCTCTATTAAATTTGAGTTGTTTTTTCCAGCTAATTAACACAATGAAAATGAAAACACGTGTTTTTCAGAACTCATCTGTACTCAGGAAACCCAGCGTTGCTCCAAGTCAATAGCTGCTAGAATCAATTCTAAATTATGAGAAATAGAGTCCCTGAGGAACACAGGACTCTCTCCTTTTCATAACCCTCCACAATGTAAACTCCTCCTGTTTCTTGACGCAGCGACTGACTTTCTACCATTATGGTTTTCTTTAGGGCCAGGCAGCTCAGGTCTCTACAGAGCAGAAGATGCTACAGAAGAGGAATCAGTTCATCAAGAACACATCATTCAGCCAGCCACATCAGTTAGTTACCTGCCACATGCAGGGCCCACGTCTTAGGAGGGGAAGGACATGCACTGTTCAGTAAGAAAATGCAATATATATACGTGTGTGTGTGTGTGTGTGTGTGTGTATCTATCTATATCTATATCTATATTTAAGCACCCATGTTTTAACAGTTTGGACTGTTTTAACTGGAACGTTTCCTCAACTGCCTGATGTTATTGTCTTTTGAAACTAGTATACAGAATATAATAAATCATTAGCTGCCCCTCCTTTTTGTTCTTGGATGACCCACTATTAGAAATATTATTTCTTACTGTGTCCTTCCTTCAGATGCATGGAGGGCTCATGGTCGCAGCCCCAATGCTCCCAGGCCTCAGTACTCCTTTGAATGTCTGTATTTTTAACGGCTTCTTTCTCCCACCTTCTTCTTCACTTTCTACCTGGCCTTCATTTGTTGCCATCAGTGTTTCTGCCTTCAGGAAAGTGTAACATTAAAGAAAGCTTTTCCATCCAAGTAGCCCTCGTGTCACAGGAGCCTGAATGCGTGCCAGCTGAGAGGCCTGGAGCGCAGCCCCAAGTGCCCTTCTCTGGTGCAGAATGGATCTGAAGACTTGCACTTCATGCTTAAAATTTATGCAGTCTTAAAATTCCAATCCATAATATGCAACATCTGGGTTTGTATTAATGAGTGAGTGAGAGTTGCTCAGTCACGTCCGACTCTTTGTGACCCCATGGACTATACAGTCCATGGGATTCTCTAGGCCAGAATACTGGAGTGGGTAACCTTCCCTTTCTCCAGGGGATCTTCCCAACCCAGGGATTGAACCCAGGTCTGCTGCATTGCGGGCAGATTCTATACTAACTGAGCCACAAGGGAAGCCCAAGAATAATGGAGTGGGTAGCCTATCCCTTCTCCAGCGGATCTTCCTGACCCAGGAATTAAACCAGGGTCTCCTGCATTGCAGGCAGATTCTTTACCAACTGAACTATCAGGGAAACCCTTGTATTAATGAAGATATTCTTAAATCAAATAACATTTAAATTACTTACCAGTAAGTGAAAAGGATGCCTCAGGTATAGGTCCAGTATTTATTCTGTAACTTTGCACAGCCCTCTGCCCCCCACTGAAACTCCAGTTCTTTGGCCACCTCATGCGAAGAGTTGACTCACTGGAAAAGACCCTGATGCTGGGAGGGATTGGGGGCAGGAGGAGAATGGGACGACAGAGGATGAGATGGCTGGATGGCATCACCGACTCGATGGGCATGAGTTTGAGTAAACTGTGGGAGCTGGTGATGGACAGGGAGGCCTGGCATGCTGCGATTCACGGGGTTGCAAAGAGTCGGACACGACTGAGCGACTGAACTGAATGGAACGGCCACCCACGGTACACCTCTGTGCCCTGGAGTTTATCTGTGCTACAGGTGGGAGACATGGCTGTGGGAATGAGCAAGGGAACCCTGTGTGACATTAGGTAAATAACCTCACCACTCTGAGTTTGGTTTCCTCATCTATATATAGAAGCAGAGAAGACAAGAAGAAATAAAGCGTGTGGCACAGACCCTGGCACACATTAGGCCCTCAACTGTTGTTGTTCAGTCACTCAGTCATGTCCGACTCTTTGGGACCCCACGGACTGCAGCATACCAGGCTTCCCTGTCCTTCACCATCTCCTGGAGTTTTCTCACTCACGTCCATTGAGTCGGTGGTGCCATCCAACGATCTCATTCTCTGTCGTCCTTGTCTCCTCCTGCCTTCAATCTTTCCCAGCATCAGGGTCTTTTCCAATGCGTCAGCTCTTCACATCAGGCCCTCAATAAATTTTAGTTAAGTCACACATCAAGGAACCTGAGTCATGTTCACCACAATATAAATTAATTAGTCTTAACACACACTTCAGCCCAGGAAGGAAGGGACTGTTGAAGGGTTGCCTTGGATTTTTGGATGATCTCCGTGATTTACCCTTACTGTAAGTTGCTGGGATCTTGCTGTGAGGACATAGAGGAAGGAGGGGTTCATTCCTACTGGGGGACCCTGGATAGTTTCAAGGAGATGACACTAGAGCTGGATCTTGCAGGGTGGCTAGAAATTCAACAGGCTCATGGTACAGTCAGCCACCCAGGATGACTCTTGCTCCCGTACATTCCCTGGTGCACCTTCATTGATTGACCAGCTCCAGCCCCAGCTGGGCATTGTTTTAGTTGTTCTGATCAGAATATCAGAACATCTCATTAGAATATCTCTACCATGAAAGCTTATCAAAGGGACCGTGAGGGTCATGCTGCTCTGCCAGTTTTCCTGGTAACAAATCGGCCCACCTGATGTCATTTCCCCTATAACTGGCAACCTCCCCCTCTTCCTGAAGTGGACATTGCCACCATCTACCACACATGGTGGGGTGTCGCTCTAGGACCTTGCTTCAGACAACTCAGCTTCCCCATCCATTAAACCATAGGTGTCTCTATCACCGACTCCAGACTCTTTCTTCTGTTTCTAGGTTCTCTCTTCTGTCCTGAATGTAGGCCTGTGGGGTGCAGCCCAACACTCATGACTGGTAAACAATGAAATCTAGGACTGGGTAAATGAGCCTGGAGGGTCCTGCCTGTGTTAAGAAGTTTAATTTTTTTCAGTTGGCCATAGGGAGCCATTGAGGACTTTTGAGATAGAGGTGAGTTAAGAACTACACATGAGAATGATCATTAGAATACAAGCCTCCTAAGGACGGATCCTGCCACCCACTATATGATTCTGATAATGCCTGCAACAGTATCCAGTACAGTTTAGTGTCCAGTAACTGACATTTGAGTGAATGAGTGATGGAATCACTATGGCAGCAGGCATTTTTAGAGGACATGCCAGGAGGCAGGAGAACCTGTTCAGAGGCCACAAATGCTGCCTCAGGGGCTGGCAATGGGATGGGTACAGCCACAGCTGTGGGAAATGCTGGAAACTTCTCCCTGCTGTCCTCCACACTTCCTGTAGGGTACTGACCACTCTCTGAATTCAGAGAAAGTTTAGGACAACAGAATCCCTGCTGACAGTCCCAGCCTCATGTTCTTCCAGAGCCTCTGTTCCCCTCTGCTCCCCATTCAGATTGGAACACGGTCCAGGCACGCTCTAGAGAGGAAATGGTTATTTGCATCTGAACATGAAACAGCATTTTCTGAAGCTGCAAGCAGGGCCCAGCTGGTGTGAGCTGAGTTTGCTCACAATTGCAACCAGCTTGTTTTAATTTGGGGCAGGGGGAGGGGGTGAGACTTCATGAGCCAGCTTCCCAGTGGGAAGACACTCATACACACACAAACACACACGCAAATGCAGCAGGCCTGTGGTCCTGGCCAGTTTGGCTGAGGAGAGGACTTCCTAGGGAGAGGCAAGGAAGGATGGGAAAGGGTTGTCCAAATGCATTCTTCTCAAGCCCCAGGGGAACAGCTGCTTTTGGACGCTGGATAAAACCACTGGGGCTGGTTGGAAGTGCCCTGCTGGTCCTGGAGCCATCTTACAATGCCAGACACCAGCTGAGCACTAAGTATTTTGTCAGATGCTTTACTTGATGGTTTTTTGCAGAAGGCAGGTGGGGGGAATGCTGGAGAAAGAAGTAGGCTGGTTGCCAAGGCCTTAAATTGATTTGAAAAATGATAAAGTTAAAAAAGTCACTGGGGTGAGACTTCAAGGACCTTATTAGAAATTTGTTGTCCCAAGTGAGACTCAGCTTTATTCTGCTATCTAGTATCTGAACATAAAGACTGGATAAAAGCATAGAAACAAACATGCAATCAGAGAAGATTGTTTCCTGTTATCACCCTTTTTCTTCCCGTCTTGCTTTCCTCATGTCTTTAAGCCCTTCTTGATGCTAACAGTCCGGATATGGTCTGCAGAGGGTTGTTTATCCCTGAGTCCTCTGACCATAGTCCCCAAGGTGGGTATTTGTTCACGAGCAGAGGCAGGAGACTCTGGGGCCAATGGTGAAACTTCTCAGGCTGCCAGTGAAGGCAGTGATGAGAAAGCCCTCTCATAGGGGAAGTAGGCATTCTGGAAGTGATATTCTGGAAATATCTCAAGCTTTAAAATTTCACAACTATGAATTTAGTCCTAGTTCTACCATGTAGGCAGACAGCTTAACTTTCCAGCCTAATTTCACCACAGACTTGTGAATTGGGTATAATGATCCCTCATCCAGACTTAGATAATGAATTTACCTGACATAAAACTATAATAGCTAATATTTAGCTTACAGTACTAGGTATGCTAATCACTTCAATGAATTAGCTCACTTGACTTTTGCAATAACCTTAAGAAGGACAATAATTATCCTCATTTCATAAGCCCAGGGAGGTTATGGGCTTTGTCCTAGTAAGTGGCAAAGGTTGGATTTGAACCCAGGCAGTCTGACTCCAAAGCCAGTGCTCATCATCATTACTCTATGCTACCTTCTGGCACTATGGTGTGCACAATAAGAGGAGCTCAGTGCTGCTTGGGTTCCCCTCCCCTAACTTCTCTCTTCAAGGAGCCAGGAGTCTTGCAGAAAGTTCTCTGGCAATAGTGGAGCAGTTCTCTCTGTTAATTAGGTGTTTCATTTTACTGCCAGCCTTTTGTTTTCCCCCTGGAGATCTGGAAGT